TTCATTAAAGTAGAAGAAAATAAATTGCACCTTCTTCATTTTTAAAATATTTAAAATAATAAAACAAGTTGAATATTCTAAAAAATATTTTTTATCTCTTTCGCATATAAGGAAGAAACCTATATCAACTTAAGTTTTGTCGCCAAATTCTAGAGACATTTTTTTGTTTAGAATGAAAAAGGCTATCGGAAATAAATTTTTAAATGGTAAACAAATAATAAGACAAAAAGTTACGTTGGAACGAAATTTTAGGGGTTGCGTTTTCCACCCCTTACAACCATGGGGTAAATCAAATAAATTACTGGCTAAGTGTCTTTTTGGTAGTAGAAAATGTCAGGTTAATTTCAATATTGTAACTTGTTTAGTGCTTGTGAAAAAAATTGTTAAACAAATTTTATGTATCTGTATGTATCTTAACAAGGGATGCTCCAATGAAGTTTCTTTGTATGAAGGATCCTATCTTTTTTTCTATGAGGAATCACCCCCTTAAATGTTTTACACTTATTTAGTTACACCCTGTATTGTATTCACTTATGAACTACATTATTTGACGATCATAATAAAAATTTTAATCCTAAATAACCGGATCAGTTGAACTATTCCAGTCTCCATTATAATCCCTTCGCAATTTTTGGGATGCTCCATGGGTTGGGGTGAAAGTTTGTTTACATTAGGTTGGCATAAATAGATTACCATTTTACCTAAACTAGCGATCTGTGAGTGAAACTACTAAATATATTATTTTATAATTTGAATAATTTCTCGATTCGTTTCGATAATAAAATAATATTTTTTTTATGTATAATTAGGTAATAGGTATATCCTTACCTACATATCTTTCTAAGTGCACATAGTTCCATTTGAGTGTGACCCGGAACATTTTATTAAAAAAGAAAACAATATAAGTATAAGGCTGTTCTTGTTCCCAGGACATGTGTTAGAGTATAAAGTAATTTCTGTGATTTCATCCAAAAGTATGGTCGTAAAATGTTTGTAGATACAAGATCCTATCTGATTTGTTCCTCTTCCTTCGACAGCCTCATACCACATGAAACAAAAATATTTTTTTGAATCAAGTTCACACATTGTAAAATTAAACGTCCAGAGGTGGCGTTTGTAGAATGCAAAAGGTTGAAAGACATTGCTGTAAATCAAAAGTATACTCTAAACGCTTCTTATCTCTAAAAGCCATGGTCTTATCATGTTTTTTAGCCTCATAAGCCTTTCTGACCTCTAACTGGTGGTCTTGCAGTTTAGTTTTAAGTTGTTTCACCTTTCCCATTTTTAATAAGCATTTGAAGCTTATCACACTGAGCACAAGTGTCTTTGTGAGGCTTCTTAATCTTAATACCAGTTTTTCGAAACTCCATCTCATAAATTTTTTAAAATACTGTTTTTTTTTTCTTCTTCTTCTTCTTCTTCTTGTAACCAAAGTTTATACTCATTATAACATCTAGCTAAAGTATAATGACTTGGTAAGTATTTTCTTTTAGAATCACTTCGGGCATATTGAGTTTCGTAACTTGGAATCAAAGATATATGTTTAGAAATCATATCAATGTAACATTTGGGTGTCTTGTTAGCCGAAATCAACTATCAGTGCCTATTAATCCAGAAGTTAAAACACATTTGTTGCGGACTACTATAATGATAAATCTGTTCGTTGCGTCAAAAGTTAACATAAAACATCGTTTACAAATAGGAATTTTAACTCCATCATTGCAAAATGATAATGAATTTGTTATAACTCTGTTTTTATGCTTGTATTGTTCTTCGTTTTTTCGTGATGTCTTCGCACGAAATTAATCCTGCAAGGTAGAGAACCCTTTTTTTATAAAGATCAATTACCCAACATTCTTTGAAAATATTTTTTCTTTTGATATCATCAATTCTGTCTCTGCATTTCATTCTGCATGTGGATAAATTATTAAACTTCTTTGCTTTAGTTATTTTGTCTTTTTTTGTTATGTATTCTTCTCCCAAATTTCTGTGCGTTTTTCTGCTGCCTCGTACTTCTCTAGTTTTTCCCTTGATCACTTTTCTTCTTTTTTTCTTTACTATGACAGGGCTAAAATTCTCATTTGCTCTTGGTGATATCGCAACCACTACATTATGAACTTTTTGCTTCTTTTTGGTCCTTCGATTCTCCACGTTAGTGTTGTCCTCACCATCACTTTTGTTGCCCTCACTGTCACTGCTGGTCGAATCTTCATCCTTATTCGAGCCATCAATTGAGTCATCCACATCTGACAGATTTTCACTTTTAACAACGCTGATATCTCTTAATTTTCCCGGCATTTACAGTGCCACTGTTTCAATAATTAATAATTCACTTTTTTGTTGTTTTAGATACATGTCTTGATTGTCAATTTCACTGTGTTCTATTGGGGATAAAAAAAATATTTAGATTTTTTCTGTAAACTTTCAAACTCTTAAAAATGCTTACCTTCTCTGGAAACAAAAGTTTGATCAATATTGATTGACATTGACTCCTCTATATCACTTGGTAAAGTGGGTGAAACATGGTAAAAATATGGTTACTAGCATCTGATTCTATGTATTCATCTTTATTATCTAAGTTATTTAATTCGGTTATGGTCAAATATGAGGTAAGACCCACATCGTTGTAACACAGAGGTCGCAGCTTCAAATTCTTTTAGTCAAAATTTTAGAATTTTACAATTTTAAACTCATACATTTCAAATAGAAACAATATCTTCTCGTATTATAAAATATTAAAAAACTAAAATTTAATCTAGAAAATGTCCGTCGCATCTTACTAAGCTTAAAATAATCCATTAAAAACTTACGTACCTATATGAATATATTTGCTTAGTTCAAAATTGTTGAACGCGAAAATTACAGCGAAAAAAAATCCATTAGCCCCCCTTTTGACAAATTTCCAATCATCAGCGACAAATTATGTGAATTGTGGCTTAGAACCGTGACAGGTTCAGGGGGTGAATTAATGATTTTCTTCAATTATCAATTTTCTACATTGACTTACTGTAAGAGTTGCCATTAAGGGAATAGAAGTGCTTCCTTTACTAATGGCTCAGCTTCTAAGATTGATGATCGGATTACACGCGAATACGTCGCACAAAACAAAATAGACACTCTGGGACCCGAATCCAAACCTATCAACTTACAACGTACAACACAAATGGTCAGATGCGAATACGAAGTATGAGAGGCAGTCAACTGAACCAAAGTCTGAGTGCATTATTATTGTTATTGCTTTGTATTAGGATATATTAAATGCAAAAGTTACTAAAATTGTTTCTTTGTATCTGATCGATATTTTTACTATTTGTACTTTTCTGTATCGTGTAAGAAAAGTGTAGAAATTATGATTTTTACGCTTTCGTATTTTTGACGGATCTTTAGGTTTTGGGGTCCCTGAATCTGTTTTCTCGATGATGTCTATCTGTGTATCTGTCTTTAATCACGATTACTCAAAAACGGATAAAGAAAGAGACTTCAGAAGGTGTTTGTAGTTAAATATACTGGTATAAAGAACGGCGCAAAAGCATTTGCAGTTTCATTAAACTTAAACTTATTAAAAAAGGTTTCTTTCTTCTATCCTCCTGTATTTTATTTTTAAAATAATATAAATATTACAGAACAAAATATTAAGGGACACAATAAACATTGTTACATGTTAATTTTAATTCTAAAATAATTAAATAATTATGGCATTTAAAACACATTTTTAGTATAAAGAAAGTAACTTTAAATAAAGCGTTGCTTTGTCTTGAATAAGATCCTTCGTTAATTTAAAGGATACTAGCATTTAAAATATACTCTTAGTACAGAGCATGTCACTTTTAATAATGCATTGCATTGTTTTGAATAAAACTTTTAATCTGATTTAATTCATTGCAGTTTTCTGTGTCGTTTTAAAGATCCTGAAGACTTTATGGGTTTGAAACATAATATCATGGAAGTATGTTCTATTTGGAGTGAGTTACTCGAAAAGGAGCCACGCGGCTTTTTTAAAATTTACAGAAAAGTGATTTAAAGTCTCAATTTCTTAAAAAAAAAGCATGAACGCTTTTTAAAGTTTTTTTTTATCGCATATATTGTATTTTGGGTTAGTAATTATTATTCTACATTCAGCACTTCCAAATTTCGACTTACATAAAAAAGCAAGTTGGTTCCTTTAAAAAAAAAAAGAAGTTTTATTTCCTATTTTTTTTTTTATTAAAATTAAAAAAATTTCATAGAAATTTAGGAAGCAAATACACTTTCGATCTCAATCATTCATCGGCTTCTTCGATCTGGAAGTCAGTTTCCTCGCCAAAGCTTTCAATATCGTCTTCGAAATTTTTGTGATCCAGGTTTTTATAAAAATACTGAACATCTTTGGGAATTAGAAGCATGAGGCTTTTGATATCGGCGAATTTCATTTTGGAAATGGGTTTCCTGTCTGGATATAGAACATATAGATTGGAAGTAAACTTAGACTGCGAGGGTCTTTCTCTGGTAGATTTTTTGGTGGATTAAATTTTAATCCATTGCTTTCGTCTTGTTATGACATTGTTTCAAGTATTGGAATGTATCCGTTTTTTAGGTTTGGATAAGAAAATTGCTTAAATAAAAGTTTTTTCTTGTATTATTCTCTATAATTTTTGTCCCATAGAAAATTTTCCTAAAATTTGAACAGGTTATCGAAGTTCTCTAATATTAGCAGTATCCTTTTTTGCTTTTGGTTCTTTTTTTACCTCATTTTCTGTTGTTCTTTCTGCATCTTCTTCTACTTCCGTCACTACTTTTTCTGGTATTTTAATTGTTTCTTTTTCTGAATCTTCTATTTCTCTGTCCGGTTCTTTTTCTTGGAACTTTTCTACTGTAGCTTCCGTCAATTTTTTAACTTCTTCCAATTTGGCAGTAAGCGCTTTAATATGAACTTCTGAGAGCTAAAGCTTCTGGCTTCCTGGCAAAATTTGTGTAACATCGTTTTCTAACTTTTCTTTAACCACCACAATGACATTCTTTAATTATGTTTTTTGTTTTTCTAATATTTTTGGTTTCTTTAAGCTTTTATTTGTTTTAACAATAATTGCAGTTACTTTTTCAAATTCCTCTTTAATGCTAACAGATCTTTTGGAAGTTTTAACTTTGATATCTTCGAAACCAGCATCAGATATTTTTTCAATATTTTTTTCAAGGTCTGTGAAAGGCCTTTTAATAATAAATATATTTCAACAACAGTCAATAACTCTTTCTGAAAAATCTTGGGAGTTTTTCTACATTAGCTTTAAGTAAATTCACTTCTTCAGCTAGAACTTGAATAGGTTGCCAAAGTTCTTTGATAAGGGCAATATCCTTGCTTTTGGTTCTTTCTCTGCATTTTTTTCTGTTGCTTTATCTGCTTCTTTTTTTACTTCTGTTAGTACTTTTTTTGTTATTTCCATTGTTTCTTTTTCTGATTCTTCTGAATCTTTTACTGGTTCTTTTTCTTGCAGCTCTTCCATACATCCTCTGTCAATTCTTTGACAACTTCTTCCAATTTTACAGTAAGTGCTTTAAGAGAAATTTGTGAAAGCTGAAGCTTTTGGCTTTCTGGCAATGTTTGAGTAACAACTTTTTGTAATTTTTCTTTAACTGCTACAATGGCATTCTTTAATTCTGTTTTTTGTTTCTCTAAAATTTTTGTTTTTTTTAAGCCTTTGTTTGTTTTGGCAATTATTGCAGTTAGTTTTACCATTTCTTCTTTAATACTGACAGATTTTTCCAGAATTTAGGCTTTGATGTCTTCTAAACCTGAATCCGCTATTTGTTCAATATACTCCAAGGTTTGTAAAAGGTTATTAAGAGTAACGAATATTTCAGTAACAGAAAAAACACCTTTTTGAGGAAGTTGAGGGTTTTTATTAATATTACCTATAAGTAAAGCTACTTATTCAGCTAGCATTTGCACTGGGTGGCGAAGTTCTTTTATAAGATGTGTATCTTTTCTTGATTTTGTTTGCTTGTCTGTTTCAGTTTCTTAAACCTGTTCTACCGGATCTTCCTCTATCTCTTTCATAACTTCTTTCAGTTTTGCAGTAAATGCTTTGAAAAAAACTGAGTGTTGAAGCTTTTGAATATCTGAAAAGGTTTGTGCAACAACTTTTTCTAATTGTTCTATAACCGCTGCAATGGCCTTTTTTACTTTTCTTTTCAGCTTTCGTTTGTTTTGACAATAACTTTTGTTAATTTTTCCAATTCATCTTCAGAAGGTCACAGCTACATACGAAAAAAGTTTAACAAGACTTATCTTACCAGATCCAAAATATCAAAACGTTACCAACCAATTGAATGTTCTCTTGGTTTCCATAGTGAAATTCTCCTCGAAATTACTAAATGAAAAGTGGCAGAGGCAACCGAAGAAGGCAAAAAAGTCTTTTGCAATACAAAATCAAGAAATTTTTGTTTGAAGTTTTACCACTAATAATTTTTGATAACGTTTTAAGATTATAAGGTTCTATATGTATTTCCTTCTTAAATTTTTATTAAGACAGACAAAAAATAAATTATAATTTTCATTTCAACTACAAAAACCCTCATAATATTAAAAAGGGGGAAAATGTCAGATTAGTTATGTTTAGGGAGCAACTCTTTAAACATTTATCTACTTAAAATGTGTTGCTTTTAGAAGGTATGTTAGTAATTAACTTTCGATTATTTTATCTTTGTTTGTTGTATTTTTAAATTGATTTTGATATTAATACTAATAATCAGTGACATTTCACATTTGACAATTTGACACTACGTTTAACAACAAAAAAGAAGACAAAAATATAAAAGCTGTAAATTGCGTTTTTTTTTTTAATAATTGAACACCGTTATTTAAAACTGCCCAGAAATGTTGAGGGTAAAATTTTGACGTACTCCTTTAAGAATTACTGGTAAAAACAGCTTTTTTTCAAATTTCCCGCGGGTAATTTCAAAAATCTTATCGGCAACACTGCACACGTCGCTTATTTTTATCATTACTATTAAAAAAAAAGTTGTAGGGCAATTAAATATAACAATTTTCTGAAATTTTTAATTGTAAGTACCTACAAAAGAATGATGGGGGATCTATTTTTAACCAAACACAATTTTATAAATAATCAAGTGAAAATTAGAAAAAATCTTATATGTAACACGTTACGAAATGCCGTTACGTTAATTTTGCGGGACCTCGCTGCGCTCCTCCCACAAATATTTACTCGTTATCCAAAATAATATTATAGGGGTCTCACAGGTGCACAGTTCAGGCACATCAAAAATTCCAAGCGTCAGTGCCTTTGGCTCATTGATGGCCATATAAATATCGTCTTATTTGTAAGTTATTACATTATTTAGGGGTAGGTCTATCTCATTGCTGTCGCTGTCACTCCTTCTTCTTCAGTGGTTTCTTCAATGCCTTGAACATTTTAATCTTCGCCGCAACTGTTATAGACCCATGACGTTTCGTTCTTTTTCGATCATCATCGCCATGGTTGTAAAATGCTACGTGAAGAACAGGCAGGTGTCTCGAGGAGGGACAGTAATACCGTCCTGAAATTTCATTGGCGGTGTTTGACGTTTTTCTTCTATGGTATGTGACATAACCTTTGATGCCTGTTCCAGCAATGGCCAAATGATTAGTTGTTTCAGCTGCTACGAAACAGTTGGGAAAACTTTGAAAAAGAAAGATATATGATTTTTTATAGCCAGTAATTGCCATTTCCCTTATGGTTACTATTAACTAGATATGCCTCACCGAATGGGGATTCAAGTAATTTATAGAACCTTGATTATTAAGTTGAGCTGTGTGAATTATCGTTAGTTCCTTAAATATTATTTTCAAACATTTATTGTCCCTTTATTATCCTTTTATTATAAAATCAATTACGTCTTTGGATCAATTCTCATTTGAGGCCAGTAATTGTAAATTAAATAGCAACATTTTACCCAAGCTATCTATAATAAAAATGTAGTCGATGAAATCATTTTTAAATGTCAAACGCTTCTTTATAGAAAAAATGGTTTGAATGATTTGATTTTTTAATAAACTACGAATTTCACACTGGGGTGAACGTCGATAAATTTCTTAATGACAGCAGTGACCTTAAATTTTCTGGGCGGAAATTAAAAATAGTGTCAAAGAATAGATAAAAATAGAATGTTTGCTATATAGCCGAAAGAAATCGATATTTCTTTAGACAAGATACCTACTGATTCATAACGGAATTTTTATATAATGATGTTCCTAATGCCAGTTCGGGAAGTCTCTTGTTCATGTTCTAATTAATTATATATTTATTTTTTTATCATTGCAAGGAGATATTAATTATTGAAAGCATATTTATCAAGAATCAATATTTTTTTATTTTTCCCAAGAGCTATAGATGATAAAATAATAAAATGAGTTTGATGAAATTATTTTACATGACTAATGTGGGATAATGATGTATTTTTTTCTTTAAAAACACATTGTTAATAAGTTATTTAGAATTTGGCCTTTCCTGCATCGGTATTACGCTAAAAATGATATAGTATGCAAAATTGGAGATAATCAAATTATCTAATAAAAAAAGTTAAAAGCATATTTGTGTCCATGGTAATAATTGTAAAATATCCAGGCTCGCTAGAATATTGTTAGAGAGACAATCCAGACGTTAATGGATTATCTTAAAATTTTTTTTCTAACATTTTTACTGTAAAATAATAAGTTAATCCCGAAAAATCCAAGTTTATTAGAAGTTTAACTACATCAAAGGATTCACATATCTTTTAAATGCAAGAACCTTAAATATCATTAAAAAATATTTATTAACAACAAAGTTATAACAAAATTTTATTTTGGAAACACACTGTTTTATATCTGTTTAAAATTATTTCTTTTTTTACATGTCATTTTACTTCTACAAGTTTATATAATTGACTAGAAAAATAGCAAAACTAAATTTGCTTCCTCGGCTCCGCACGATTGGAACCTGGCAGATATTCGGCGGATACAGCAATTTGTAGGGGCTTTCAAGATTGAATAATAATAGGCAATTGCTAATTACGAATCTTATTTGGGTCAGTGGGCCAATAGGTGGGTTTTTCAGAAGATTGGTATGTACAACTAAGTTCTGATGCAGATCGGTGAAATTCTTTTCCTTTGGACCCCAGTTGGTGATTTTGGAGTTGTAATCTCTACCGATTATAAATTTGTTACCTAGTTTTTTGAGTTCATTGTGATTATTTTCTTTTTTCTGGTTATATCTTGGTGCGCAATAGATTGCAGTTATTGTAATTTTGCCCACCTTAATGTTAATGGTGCTAATGGTTACCTGATTATCTGCTTCTTTGATACCTAGGTCTTCATAGTGGGAAATGTTATATTTAATAATTAACGCACTTCCTCCTCTTGCTGCATTTGATGGATGGATAGTGTGATAGAAGTTGTATCCTCTGAATTTAATGTATGATTCCATTGTAAGGTGAGTCTCAGAAATCAGATATTTATCTATTTTTTTGTACTTGGATGTCAGTTTGTTTTTGGAGAATACCATTGGCATTCCAAGTGGCTATTCTAATCTCTTTTGTCCATTGGAGATTTTGTTATATATTTGGGGTTTATTTAATTCATCTAGCTTCTGGAGTCTGTTAGAGAGTGAATCTTTTCTGGTTATTAAGGATAATAATAATTCATGAGTGGTACTTTCTGCCAGGCTCGTTAACTGTGCAGTATGCTGTGCAATTTGAGGAGTGGAATTCATGGCTGGTTATGACCTTTGAATTGGTTGCTCCTGTGAGTTTGTCACCTGAGAATATGTTATTTCATTTCTGACAGTAGGCAAAGCGTTTATGGGTCTCTTCTGCCTGGTCATTATTATAGGTTTGCTGGTGTTATCCTTCCTTATCTGAAAGGTTTTAGCTACCTCACGTCCTCTGTAGTTTGTAGAATGTTCCATTAGGCAGTTTATACGCTTCGGTTGTTGTTTTGGACTCTTTACACAATACTTTGTATGATGTTTTTCTACACATTTTACTTATCTTGACTCTCATTTGCAAAAGTTGTGTATAATATGTCCATAAAGCTGGCAGTTTTTGAATTGCGGAACTAGTTTTGACTTTCTTATAGTTTCTATTTTATCTTTTAGATTAAGTATTGCTTTGATTTTGTAGATTATCTTGATATCTTCAATATTTCGAAAGATAGCATGAATATTTCTATTTCCTTCTTTATTATATTTACAGCTTCTTTACATTTTAATCCTTGACTTTGCAAGTCTTCAACAAAGTCTTCTGATTACTTTATTGTCTCTGTTCTGTTTAATTTCATAGAATGCCAATTTATGTCTTTGACATTCAAGATTGATATGACATTTTTTAAATCTTCTTCTTGTTTAGTAATAATTTTAAACTGGTTATTGCTTAGAGCTGTGGCTTGAAAGGAAATATTATTTTCTGCCAGTGTATGGCGCAATTTTTCATACTTATTGATGTTGCTTGCTATTATCGGGGGAAATTT